ACTTCGTCAGTCTGCCTGTTCTGCTCCCCACTCTGTCTCTGGTGAATCCTCTGGCCTTTCCTGCATCTCTGGCCTGCACCCCACTTCTGTATGCATAAATAAACAAATCAAAAACAAACCAAAACAAAAAAAAGTTGACTTGTAAGATGTTTTAAAATGCTAAGAGATGGCTGTCACAAAATATATCTACATATATTTTACACCCCAGTCGATTTCCCTTTCTCCTTTTATTTCCCCACAACACCCTCTAGCCACTAAGAGAGGCAATTTGGTCATGGTTCATGTGTGTATTTGCTCAGGGGGCATGGAAAAGCTGCAATGCGGTGTCTGGTGTCTAACTGATATTTTTTCTAATAGAGATAATATGAGAAAAGATTTTGCATTAACATGAAAAAGTATTTTTAGTGTAATTATGTACATGTGAAATAAATAAGCTCTGTGAAGCTAGCCAACCAGCAAGTGATTTCCAACAAAGTTAGCTTTTGGAATATTATCAAGTATACTCGCCCTGATAGAAATAGTTTTTTATGTATTTTTGTCTTAGTTTTCTAATCATATTGTAATTTCATTGGCTCTGTAGGCCCTCTCTTATACTTTTTTTATATTTTCCTGCATTGTCTAAGAATCCTAACAAGCAAAATTATTATAGCAGTGGAGGTCAGCAGACCATGGAATACCCTTTAGAGTTCAACCCCTATTAAGTGTCCAGTGAAAAAGACTCAAACATAAAGGTCAAAAGAAATGGGATGTGAATAACCCACTGATTTGCTCATTTTTAATAATGGTAACCACTAAGGAATACTAAATCATTTAGCCACTCAGCTAGATGCTAAGACACCAATGGAAGTCAAGCATGTATTTGACAAACTCAAACGCAAAATGAGTGTACGTGGCCATTTAAGTATGTCTGTGTATATTGCCTGAGAGTATATGATCTTAACTTTGTCAGGCAACTAGATTATTCCGGAGTTATCTGTATGTTTGATTGCTTTTTCTGGATTCTTTGTATCTGGTTTCTAAAAAAAAAAAAATGTATGGGGGACATTCAAGGAGAAGAATTATCTGTAGATTACAAAGATATGGGGCTGCTTTCATCATTCAATTTTAGAGATAATGTACAGTTCTGGGAACAAAAAAATGGATATGTTGAAATTGAAAATGATTCCTTCATAAATGAAGTTGACCAGAATTTCCAGCAGGCCTATTGCCTGAAGGAATATTTCCCGGATTCAGCCTCTGTGATACCCAACAATGAACCATACAAGTCTGGACAGATGGTTGAATTCCAAAGTGTTTCTCATGTTACAGTATTTTCTTCTATTGTCTCTCCTGAAATGTCCAGGGGAAAAAAGCAAATACTATAACTTTCAGAAAATATAAAGAATCTCCTCAATATGTTTAAGGGAGTCACCAGCACTGAACATCAATTATCTGGGAAACCTTGTCCTTTTTTTTGTTTGTTTAAAGATTTATTTATTTATGGTACAGAACTGGGTACAGGCCAGAGGTACAGGGGTGGTGAGAGGATACACCAGAGAGAGAGCGGGAAGCAGAACAGGCAGATCAACGAAGTACACTGCTGAGGGGAGCAGCGGACATATCAGGAGAGGTCTGCCACGCCATGTGGGTCACCTCATGTGGGGCCAGGGATTGAACTCCCACTGAAGTGGCTGTGGCCATCTTGCAGTGCTGCGTCCTAACCCATTGTGCCACCAGGGAGGGCCTCATCCTCCTATTTAAAAAAAATATTTTCTTGCTCAAAATTTGATTTCTTATTTTGGGTGGTATAGTTTATCACCCTTACTGTCCTTATTGCTACAAATTACAAAACAGAATATGTATTTATGTCTTCTCATATAAGATCTCTTCTTGGCCCTTTTCTCAACATATGGTAACATTGTCTATAGAGCTTTGGGCTATGGCAACACAGGAACTTGGGATTCATTCTCAAAGCCATTCATACCATCGAAAACTAGGGAATAAATACTCCATTTACTCACTAAACATCTTTCAAATCTGTCTAATTCCTTGTTTCTTTAATGTTGTCTCTCAGGTCCAAAGTCCTGATGCCTCTCACCTGGATTCTACATAAGGGCCAGATCAATCTGCCTATTCATAGTCACGCTCTTCCTCCTTGCCCCTGATAGACACAACAGTCAAAACAGAAAGATCCTTCCATAATGCAAATCTGACCCAGTAGCTGCTGCGACCAGTACATTCCTGTGACTCTTAAGATAAAAATACAATCCCGTACCTGGCTTTTCTCTGTAAGCTCACCTCAGATCACCTTGCTCATGTGATCTGTTTCAGTGAACCTGGCCTTCTTCCATCCTTCAACATTTCCTTCTACATTAGCACCATTCCCCACCATTTTAACTTCATAAACCCTGCTCCTCTCTCTGAGCTTGATTCAGGGATCACATGGTCAGGGAAACTCCCCCTCCCTCGACCTGCTCTAGCGTTACCCAAACGATTAGGGCCCATTGTCTGCCCTCACGGACCAACTTTTCACGACACTTGCACAAAAGAAAGAGATTTATGATTCTGTGCTTAAGGAATTGGGGTTTCAAGGGAGGAAACGAAAACAAAGAGATATATTTATTTTGTAATCAACCTCGAGGATTCAAGCCAGCAGTTCTAAACCACAGGGAGAAATATGCATACAACATTATACCTCAGTGTCCTCCAAAAAAGTAGCATCTTTTTATTAATAAGAATTAGATATTTTTGAGCAGGAGACTGCCTGGTCTATCTCGAGGACTGCTAGATAAAATTTAAAGCCTGGAAGGATCTTAACAATTGTCCCCACAAATCCCTTCAAAGCATGGATGAGAAAAGGGTGACTCAGAAAGCTCACAGTTAATGAGATACTTAAGAGATATGTCTGGAGCATTTTTATATGAAGTAGTTTTTCTGTTTCTTGGTTCTCCTTTCATCACTACATGTATTCTCTGCTTAAAACACTTCCAGAGACAGCATAAATAAAATTTGTTCTTATTTGCCAGTATAAAGGCAGGTTAATTTCTACCATAGGAAAATGATACAACATCAGTAAATACTCATGTAAGTCTTTAGTCAAATATTGGTGTGCTATTGAAATTTTACTCTGATCCAGCTTTAATTCTTTATGAGTGAACTCTTCATGTTATCTTCCTGTACTTTTCTTCCATATGAAATCATTTAAAAAAAAAAGAATCTTAGGAAGAAGATCCTCATCTTTGCTCTAATTCACAATTTGAACAAAAATTGTTTTTAATCTTCTCGATCTTCAAACTAAGCTCTGGTTGTAGACCCAATCTCTCTTTTTCAAGGAATAGGGGGAGGGAGCTGTCATTACAACAACCTCTGCCCTGCAGCTCTCTGACCAGTCATTCCGTTTGGCTCTTTTCATACAATTGCCAAATCATCCATAGAATAGATCTAGAACAGTGAGTTACCTAGGATATGGCAAGCTTGTAAAACACTGCTTTATAAACACTTGAGCCAAAGAGGATATTGACAGTCACTTTATCCAGCAACCCATTCCACCCAAGATTGCTTTATAAAACATCCTAAACAGAAAGATCAAATGCACATGGAAGCTAAATGCTCCTAGTCACTAATTCCTCAAGCCCTCACCTAGGTGAAGATCCCTTCAAATAATCATGATTTTGTATTCAACAACTCTGTGTTCTTCACAAATACATGATGATGTTTATAAGATAAATGTGTAGTGTGTAGCATCCTAAAACTTTGCTTGACAGTTGTGTGTAATGCCTGTGTGTGCATGTGTGTATAAGCATGTTTTAAAACCCAACACATATGGAATGTAGCAGCCAGGTTAGAATGAAAAAATAATTTGGTTACAAAGTCTGTTCATTCTTCACTTTTCTCTTCTTGTTAAATCATACCATGGGGGTGGTGGGAGGTATGGTTTATGCTATTGCAATTCAAAACCAACTCCTTATAGTGAGGCCTGTGTGTGGTGATTGTGTTGTTATTTTCAATGATTACTTCTTTGCATGAATGAGAGAGGAGACGGATTAGCACTATCCATATTTATTTTCTTCTCTTCCCTTCTAGATTTCTTTTGCTTTGGGCGTAAAATTCTACACGCCCTTCAAACGTGCCTAAAGCAGACAGCAGTTCCTCTTTCCTGGCAAACGCAGAATTTCTGTACTTATTTAATCATTGAGAAGCAAAAAAGATGTATGAATCAAGTAACTTTTGGATTTTTTGGGGGGGGGCAGGTCTTTTTGTAATATCAATAAATCATTTTGTTGTTGAAATCCCTGTGATATTTACTAGAAATCTCTCAAGTGCACGTATGTTCCATGAGACCATACACTCGGGAAACCGGTATAATACTGGCAAAAACCTAGACCATACAGCCATATGATAGACCTAGGAAACCGGAATTCTGGAATATGATTTCTCTATTTTGTTTAACAATGTGCCTGGCTCTGAAGAGCTTTAAATTTGGTGGCTGTCATTGCCTAACTTGGTCCAAATTATATGATGCTAAATACCATGGAGAACATGACCCAAGGAAATGGGTGGACAGTGAGAGCATTGCACTTCAGAGTGTTTGTGCTTGCATCTGAACATTGGAACTGTTGGCCAGCTACTTCCTGGACATCCAGAGAAGCAGCAAGTGTGGGAGCCAGAGGTACCAGTGGGAGGTGTGTGGAAGACATAAATCACAGACTATATTCTTCTCACTTGACTCCCTGTGAGCCCATTGACTCTATCGTGGACAAGCAGGGTCTCCTGTGCCCTCTGCTGCCTTCGAGAAGCCACTCATCCCAACGTAGCCTGCCGTCACTCCACACAATCCCCTAACCAAGTCCTCAGGGGCTGCCATGTAATTTCATGCATACACCCTATTATCCCTCCCTGCTTGAGTCTTACGGATAATTGATGATGCTTCAGTTAATCATCTTTCCCCCTCTTTGTTCACCAGGTACCTCAAGCCTCGAAGGGGCCCTTTTATTGAGAATCGATGTCTTCTTCTAGGTAATTGATCACCCTAGACCCAGGGACACCCAGCTCATCGTGCAAGGGGGTAATCATCATGAATAATCAAAAGGCTGTGGCCGCATGGCTGCAGGAGTGCAAGCGAATGCTGGACCGGCTCTCGTCAGCGGCGTCAGCTGTGTCAGAGGAGGATGAGAATGAGGACCAGCAGTGCAGAGGTGAGGTTCCTGGAGGAGGCGCTTGGGGGGAGGTGGTCACAGCAGGCTCACCCTCCTCTCCCCTGCCTGGGTGACACGTTCCCGACTCTGCCCTATTTTTCTGGGCAGATGACCACCGAGAGATGAGTGGATTTCTAGGGCATGAATGGGACACGGGCTGCGGGTGGACGGGCCGGGGAGGAAACCCACTTTGTTGTAGTGAATTGCTGTCAGTTCTAATTTTCGGCTTCAGTAACCAGGAGGCTACAAGAAACAGTTTAGTTCAAGAAGAACAAAAGGTCCGAGTGGGCTGCTGCACGTAATTTCAATTAATAAAAAATTGAAGCAACTTCTGAATGGCCGCACATAGTTTTTGTCATACAAGGCTTTTGTGCCTCGTCTGGCCTGTAGATGTCCACGCTCGCTCCGCACACTCCTCTCGTCAGCCCCATCTCCCGTTTTTTGCTCAGTACTCTTCTCCAGCCAGTTCACATGCCATTTGTAAAATAAATCCACTCGTCCTGATAGATGCTTGTTGCATCATTAGGGGCCGACAAGGGGGAGCACTTGGCTTTTTGCTCATTTCCTAGACTCTCGGGTATTCCTAGACTCTCGGTTGTTCCCCAAGTCTAGAAGCCTAAAGGATTCTTTTCTTGGCTTCAGCCCCTTTGAAGAGGCAGCCTTCCTTCTTTAGACTTCTTTTTAGGATAATTTAGGATACATTTTCCTCCACTTCTCAAAGGTGTCCTTTCTATGGGCTTTTCAGGCTCTGTATGTTAAGCCAGAGGCTTTTCCCAGGTGTACACGCCCCGTCTCCTGCTGTTGAGTACAATGGACGAAGGCCCTGGGTGGCCTTTTCTGCCCTGCGCTTGTCCACATGCCTGTTCACCTCACACTACAGACTTAGGTGCCTGTAGAAGGCCTCGTTCTTTGGCAGCCTGTCTTTTGCTCTCCTCTCAAGATAAGTACTTTCTGTCCGCGTGTGTCTCAACCACGGTTTGTGTTTTTGTGCTCGATGAGCCAGACACACCAGCGCTGGCCAGGAGCCTGCATGCTCACAGGGGCCACCCAGGCCCTGGTGGTGGCGGGGAGCTGCAGGTATCTAGGTCAAGTGAAGGTCTCGGCTGTCCCCAGGGTATGCTGTCGTGTCCTGCTGTTTCTGCTGAAACCTGTCCCTTTCCTTTATATCTTCAGCCCAAATTCCCTTAAGCCTTGTGTTCTCCCTAGAGACTCTAAGCCCTCCATCAGGGAGCATTTTCTTCCTTTTCTTCCCAGTTGCCCCAGAATGGGAGAAATAATTATTTTATTTCCAGATAAGGCACATGACTGCTGCAAAATCACTCAGTTAGCTACGGCCCCTTAGGTAAGCTGATCAGGGAAGGACATGATCAGAGAGGCAGAAGGTCTCCCTGCAGCCTGGTCTCTGCCCATTGAACCGGGGGTACGGAAGCTCCGGCGAGGAGACTTTTGTCACGGCAGCTCGACCTGAGCTCCCTGCCTGGTGTCACTGGCCGCCAGCCAAATGCAGATCCTTCCTGAGGCTGGAGGTGTCTGGCAGGTCTCGCCAAGATGCTGTCCCCTGTCTGTGCACCAAGGGAAAGTATGGAGGAGCTCTGTGCATCCGAGACCACATTTCTGTTGTCATTTCATTACACATGGCCTCTTGGGACAGTGTGCAGATAATATATCATTCTCCTGGGACAATTTTGAGAGTGAGAAGGATTGCTGTAGGTACCTTCGGGCCAGCAAACAGTACGGAAGCCATCCCGTTCCTGGCCATTTACTAGTGTTGACGAGGTTTCCTCTACATAGACAGTGGCTGCATTTTCAGAAGATGAAACTGTCAGCGGGGTAACAGGGCCAGGCTTCCCAGCAGACTCTAACCCTAATCCTACTGTTGTGCTGTCCCTGAGGGATGCTGTAGCCCAGGGTCACCCCAAGTTCTGGGTTGCTGAATCAGGGCAGTGATTTCTAAGTGCTGTGTATCAGTGTTCCTCAGGAGTCGGTCAGATCACTCACTGGTTCTCCCCCTCGGGAGGCTGCCTCACGTTTGCCCAGGTGTGTCAAGGACACAGAAAGGCATCATTGTTCTTCATTTTCTCTATCGTCACTCTTTCACCCTCCTCAGCGTGTCTCCTGCAGACTTGCAACTAGTCCTCCTTTTATACATTGTGCTGTGTTTGACAAAAATGCTTCTGTCTTTGGGGACCCTATTCCCATGGGAGGGACAGATGTGGTTACAGAGGAGCAGGCTGGAAGGGGCAGGCCCCTGCGGGCTCAAAGCATGCAGGTGAGGTGCCTCGGTTCCACCGGGAGGTCCTGGTGACAGCAAGAAGTGGCGAAGTTTGCACTGAATGCCAAGGTCACTGGGCCTGAGAGTGGCCTTGAGGGGAGACAGTTGGACAGGATGAGCAGGGCAGTGGGCTGGCCCATCACGCTTTTAGGAAAGGGGGATCAGCCATGTGGCTGATGGAGTGATCAGGGCAAGACTGGAAACTAGTTTGGGTAAGGAGGAGTGGGGAGTAGATTTTGCATTCACAGAATTTAATTGCCAGATGGGTAAGGGGGAAAAGAAAACAAAAGTGTAGATTAGCACCTAGTTGTCAGCGAGTGGTGGTAACCTTCATCAAACTAGGTAATAAGGGGAAACAGATTTAGGGGGAGGGTGATGAGTTCAGTTTTGGGATAGCTTGAACCTGAAGTGTCTGCAAAGCAGGCATCTAGGACTTGCTCTGGTGGCACAGGTGGTTAAAGCACAGCACTGTGAAGCCACCCGCAGCCACTGCAGCAGGATTTTGATCCCAGCCAGGCTGCTGACCCACGTGGCAAAGCAGACCTCTCCTCTCACGCCCACTGCTCCCCTCAGCAGTGTAATTCAGTACATCTGCCTGTTCTGCTCCCCACTCTGTCTCTGGTGATTTCTCTCACCCTCCTCCCATACCTCTGGCCTAGACCCTAGTTTTTTTATGCATAAATAAATAAATTCTTTAAAGAAAAAAAAAAAAAACAAAAACAAGCACCTAAATTCTGGCACTCACAAATGGGTCCATCTTCCCTTAGGGAGCCTGTGTGCTCTAAGTCCCACGTTTTTCACATGTTGGGAAGGTTCTGTCGGCCACATTCACACTTGGGCAGAAACATCCAGTGTCTACAGTCAAGCACTGAAATGTTTGCAGCAAAACTTTTGACTGTTCTCTCGAGAGTAAACAAGACTGCAGTCTCTTGACAATTCAAAGTGGTTTGGATGCCAATGTCAAGAAAAGTCCTCCTAGTTCAGAACTTTTTGAGTCTGCAAAATTTGGAAGAGGGAACGTGGTTTCCTGGAGTTAGTTTTGGTGACTGCAGAGAGATGGACCATTTATCTCTCTCACTAACGTGAAATGGGACCAGCTCACAGGAAATCGGTAGCACCCCAAATCTCATTTGGGGTTTTTATATCCGTTGTCTATAACCAGGTGTTAGCCACAGTGAAAGTGGGAGGCGAGGCGAGGTCTCGGAAGGAAGTCGTACAAATGGGCTCTTGCGTAACCAGCCACCATCGCCTCCCTCCACCCCATCTCTGTCCCTGTCTCATTTTACAGGGAAAATAATATTTCCTTCATTCCTTTCTCTGATTCTTCATGCAGAGATAGTCACTGGTGTTTACTTCCTGCTAAAAACCTTTCTTAATGCCTCACTGCCCCAGTTTACCTGTAGGGCAAGGTAGGCCCAGGCCACCCCTGGAAGATAGCTTCCCACTATTATTCTCTGAGTCAGAGCCACAGCCTAGACCCGCCAGCAACAGGTAAGAGCTTTCTTTGGCCCCTGGGGTGCTTCATCATAACATCGGCACCTCAGCAGCCTTTTCTTTGACTGCCATTTCCTTACCTGCACTTTGACCTTTTCAGCGTCACTCCCCAGCGAGTTAAGGACACTGATCCAGGAGGCAAAGGAAATGAAGTGGCCCTTCGTGCCTGAGAAGTGGCAGTACAAACAAGCCGTGGGCCCAGAGGACAAAACAAATCTGCAGGACGTGATTGGTGCTGGGCTGCAGCAGTTGCTGGTAGGAGAGCCCACCTGTTCCTCTAACACCTCCAGTGAGGCATGTGGGCCCCTAAGTGGTCTCACAGATTAAATTTCTCCGAGGCAGAAGACAGCCTTTGCCCCCACGGGCAGCACTGCCAGATTGACGAATGTGGGGAAAGGTTTTTACAAAAGTGTTGCTTGCCGTGGCCCTTCTGCTGGAAAGCTGAGTCCCGTGCAAGTGAGGAAGGGTAGTCGGGGGTCTGTGAGACTCCGCACCTGAAGCCTGCGGGGGCAGAGTGGCATTGCAGTAGTCCTTGTGGCACCATACCCCAGAGGGTGTTTTTGGTTTTGTTTTAAGATTTATTCGCTTATGCATACAGAACTGGGGTACAGGCCGGAGGTGCAGGAGGTGAGAGGATTCAACTGAGGCAGAGCAGAGAGCAGAATAGACAGAGAGCAGATGAAGCACACTGCTGAGGGGAGCAGCAGGCGGGTCAGGAGGGGTCCGCCGCGCCATGTGGGTCACCTCCAGGGCCAGGGATTAAACTCACACTGAAGCAGCTATGGCAAGCTTCACGGTGCTGCGCTTTAATCCATTGCACCACCAGGGAGGGCCCCCAGACAGTAATATAATAGTTTATTTTTACATCATTTTGTGCCTTTTTCCATCTCAGTTGTTATCCCCGTGGGCTTCCCATCACCAAATCACTTGTGTGCCATCACCATAGTCCAGTGCACTTCCCTCCCCATACAGTTTTTGATCCCAGTCCCCACTTGACCCCATAAAATGTCTCTGGTATATAGTTGTTTATTATTATTGTTATTATTATTATTATTCTTTCTGGCTTAATTCACTAAGCATGATCTTTTCCAGCTCCATCCATGTTGCTGCAAAAGGCATGTGTTTATTTTTTTGATTACTGAGTAATATTCCATTGTGTATATGTACCACATCTTTTTAATCCAGTCATCCACTTTTGGGCATTTGGGTTGTTTCCATTCTTACGGTATTTTTTTTAAAGATTTATTTATGCATACAGAACTGGGGTGTAGGTCAGAGATGTAGGGGCAGTGAGAGACTTCACCAGTGACAGAGCGGGGAGTGGAACTGGCAGATCTATGAAGTACAGTGCTGAGAGGAACAGCAGGCAGGAGAGGTCTGCCACGTCATGTGGTCACCTCCAGGGCCGGGGATCGAATTCACACTGAAGCAGCTACGGCTCACTTTCAGTGCTGTGTGTTAACCCATTGCACCACCAGGAAAGCCCTTTGTACAGTATTTTGTAAAGGGCACCTTGAAAAAGGTAGATAACTTAGAAAAATGAATTCACCCCCTTGTCACCCATGTGACTCAGTGTCTAAGCTGTTGACTGTCTCCTCGTGGTCCAGCTGTTCAGGAAGCAACAAATCAAAGTCACTGATAGGCTTTTTCTTCACCTCACTTGTTGGAATTTGCTCAAGGTGGGTGGGGGAACCCCTCCATCCCAAACAGGAGGCTCTCAAGAAACAGCACGAAAACTTGGGTCCGATCTCACTTGGTAGCTCTGTCTTCCACCTGCGTTCTCGTACGTGACTACCAAGGGAGTCCATAAGCTTGTGTTTTTTTCTCACATGAACTTTCATATTTGAAGACTGAGCATTGCAAGTGATGACAATGGAGCAGATATTTCATCCCTTACGTAGGACTTGTTTTGAGCCATCTCAAAATCAACATCTAGACACGGTTTTTGCTGATCAAAACAAAGAAGGGAGAGGCCCTCTTCTCTGCTGACACCACGCCATCGTTGGGGACTTGACAGACTGACTAGAGGCCGTCCCATTCCCACCTCCCAATCAAGCAGACGAGTTAAGTCAGTGGGTGGGGCTCAGTGAGTAGTTGAAAAGAATTGAGAGGTGAGCGAGAGAGGTTAGGAGAGCTTGTGTAGGGTGTGAGTGTGGGGGCCTGGGCAGCTGTGTGTGTCCCCACAGAGCTCCGTCCCACTGTGCTTGTGTACACTCGTCAGGTCCTCAGATGGCCTCACAGGCACTATTGCCTTTGTTAACTCCAGGCACAGCCTGTGAACTGTTAGGGAACAGGCGGGCGGTGGTGGCCGAGTTCCATCCTCAGGCCACTGCAGTTCCCCTGGGACGGCCCAGGTGAGGAACCTGGAAGCCCAGGCAGAGGGAGCAGGTCTTGGTCTCTGCTACCCGACACTGAGGCCCTGGCCACGGGGGGTCTTGAGCACTTGAAGCATGGAGAAGACAGCGGAAGAACTGAGATTAACGTAATTTACTTTTCACAAACCACTTCTGGCGAACAACATGGCTACTCTTGGGTGGGGCCGGCCCTCCAGCACTAGACTAGGCATTGGAAGCTTGTTGGAAATTCAGACTCCTGGGCCCCATGTTTGTCTTGCTGACCCAGGGGCCTCGTTGTCAGGATGACCCTGAAGCACATGGAGTTTGGGGACCCGTGTTCCAAAGAGAAGAGTAAGAGGGCGAGGTTGGGAGAGCAGACAGCCAGGCAGGGGGAGTGGAGAAGGAGCAAGGGGACCCCAGCATGCAGGTTGTAGGAGAACAGGCAGGTGAAATCTCCTCCCCCAATTCTGGGGACTGGTCCTTTATCAGGAGCCAGTTCCCAAGAGCCTCTGGTTGCTTGACTTGCTTAGAGAGCCTGATGTGATCTGACCGCTGGTCTGGGAGCACTTGCCGAAGCTTCCGTGGCAGCAAGAGCAGGAGCCTGTCCCGGGGCGAGGAGGAGCAACACTAGCTGGGGCTTTCGGCCTCTGAAGGTCCCTCTGAGCTTCCACAGATGGAGCGACAGCCATCCCCGCCCCAGGGCTTTGCTCCCCTTGCCCCACCGCCAGCTCCAGCTCCAGCTCACTGCTTCCAGACCTGCAGCTGCCTCACTGTCCTGGCTCAAAGTCAGAAGGAAACGGTGTTTGCAGAAACTTCTGCCTACCTGTGGGGGTCAGTGTCAGCTGGGAGACAAGCTGCTCCTAGGTTGGATTTTTTTTTCTTCATTTCTTAAAACTTTTATTTTAATATAATAGTTTATTTTTACATCATTTTGTGCCTTTTTCCATTTCAGTTGTAATCCCCGTGGGCTTCCCATCACCAAATCACCTGTGTGCCATCACCATAGTCCCGTGCACTTCCCCTCCCCATACAGTTTTTGATCCCATTCCCCACTCCACCCCAATAAAATGTCTCTGGTATATAGTTGTTCATTATTATTATTATTATTATTATTATTATTATTATTATTATTATTTTCTCCCCTGGTCCTTTATGCTCCTGCTATGAGTGAAACCATCCGGTGTTTTTCCTTTTCTTTCTGGCTTATTTCACTAAGCATGATCCTTTCCAGCTCCATCCATGTTGCTGCAAAAGGCATGAGTTTATCTTTTTTGATTGCTGAGTAATATTCCGTTGTGTCTATGTACCACATCTTTTAAATGCAGTCATCTACTTTTGGGCATTTGGGCTATTTCCATGTCTTTCCGATTGTAAATAAAGTAGCAGTGAACATGGGGGTGCAGGTGTCTTTTTGAATCTGTATTTTAGTGTCTTTTGGGTAAATACTAGCTTAGTTATTTTTAAGGGTGCATTCATTTTTCCTCGTGCTCCTCTCTATTGATGGCACAGAGGTCACGACTCTGAGGCAGACAGAAGCAAAGCCTCTGTGCCCCACAGCAGTGCACTCAGCAGCTCAGGAATCAGCCCATTAGGCTTGCTGGAGCCCCTAATGTGTTTAACCTGGAAGCTTTTTGAGCATCATTCTCTTTAGCTTACCCAGCAAGCCATAAATTAAGCAACCACACCTCCTTAAGGCTCTTAGGATGCTTTCCTATTGTGTCACACCCCAAGTGCACAATCACTAAAGCACTCTGTTTTGTAAATAGAGAACTATAGCCCTGACAGACAGGCCCTTCTGAGCCCCAGCCCTGGCTGCTCCGCACATCTTAGCTTGTTAAAAGCATCTCGGGTAAAAGCCAGGATTTGTCTTGTCTCCTTACGCTGTGTGTTTCAGTATTGGGCTTTACTGAGGTGAGGTGGGCCCACTGTCAGCACTGATCGATCCGAAAATCTGTTCTTGCAGCAAAGTAGTTAAAGGCTGCCGAGTTCATCTTTATGGTTATCTGGTCCCCCCCTTACAGTTTTTTCCATAAATTATTTGTTTTAATTTTGAAACAAATCCTTCCTGTATAAAGTTTCCCCTTTGGGATCACCATCAGTGAAATAAGCCAGAATGAAAAAGAAAAATACCGGATGGTTTCACTCTACTCTTAAGAGGAATGTAGAGGATCCTAACAAGAGATCAGGGGGAAAAAATTGTAATAAATTAAATATCAAAATTAACAGATGACTCTACACCAGAGACATTCTGCAGGAGGAGGAGAGGAGCAGTGTCAAGATGGGTGGGTCTGTGGTGATGTGATGGGAACTGCTCCCGGGACTGCACACCAGGTGGAAAAGCATGCAGTGTCCAAAAATGAAAAATGATGTTGACAATTTTAAAAAAGCAATAAAGTTTCCCCTTCGTGTTCAAAATCAGCACATGTGAACACGTTGGCTCTAAGTGAATTCCACCCGACACAAGTGAAGCAGAGAATCTGTGAGAAGAAAGTCAGTGAGCCACAACTGTCTTCCTGGCGCTCCCGAGTTGGTGAAATCGGGGGTCATTTATAATGTGACTCTCCAGGGCTGAACTGAATCCCGAGAACTCGTGTGTGTTTTGTGCTATTTCTGTTCGCCGCCGCCTTCCCCATTTCCTCCCTCCCGCTCCTCGCCTCCTTCCCCACCCCCAATCTTTTCTCCTTTGGTGTGTGGCCACAGACAGAAATTTATGGCTGGGGCCAACCTCCTTTACACGCCACACAAAGCTGGTCGACTTGAGAGAGTTCGTCCGCGCTCTCCCAGGAAAAACACCTGCAACACGCTCCCCGAGAACCTGGAGAGATGGGAGATTAATGTGCCTGTAATAGCTGGCCAGCTCTTTTGGTATTATCCCCTCTCCCCAGGTAGATGGGCCTTTTCCGTGATGATACCAATTAT